GAATGCCACATGGGGGGATTACAGAAGTAATACTACTTATTTACTTATTATAAATTAAATACTGAAGTAATAAAAATAAAGGATATATAAAAATCAAATGACATCATTACAAATACTAAGTAAAATTTGAGATAATATTTCCCTCAGAAGAAAAGTGTATTTACAACTACATACTATGCCTTGTAAGAATGTTGATCTGTATAAGTCAGGTTACATTTAGCTGGCAACTGTTTATGTCCTAGTACCAGTGACTTCATTTAAAACCACAGAACAATGTGATAAGAAGTAGTTGTTTTTTGCTTTGTTTTGTTTTGTTTTGCCCTAGGGTGCATGCACTTGCAAGAGAGAGACAGAGAGGGTAGAGAGAGGGAAAGTAAGATATCACTCTTAGGGGGGATGGCCACACTGCAATCTCTTCTCCTTCACTCTCCTCTCAGGATTTTGGGCATGAACGTACATAAACCCAGCATGATTTTCAAGCCACCCGGTCTGAGACTTGAATCATGGTCGGCCATGTGGGAGTCCAGTGTCTTAACCATCATATCACCTGCTGGCCCCTAAAACAAACTGTTTTAAAATCGATGTAGAGGGACCAGCAGTTAGCGTAATGGCTATGTCACTGGACTCCCATGTAGTCAACCGCAGTTCAAGTCCTGGACTTGGTGGCTTAAATTCATGCCGGGCGTGTGTGCAGGTGCGCCTAAGATCCCAAGAGGATAATGGAGAAGAAGGGATTGCAGCACAGCCATCAACCCTGGGGAGACGGGGGTGATTTCTCGCTTTCTGTCTCTCTGTCTCTGTCTTTCTGGTGAGAGCACATCCCCTATAACAACAACAACAAAAAAAACCCTTTCCTGGGGTCAGCAAGTAGTGTGGTGTATATAAGGGCATTGGACTCCCACATGGTCGACCACGGTTTGAGTCTTGGACCTGGTGGCTTGCTTTTCTTGCTGACTTTCCCTCTCTCGTTCTCTCTCTCTCTCTCTCTCTCTCTCTCTCTCTCTCTCTCTCTCTGTCTTGCTGGTCAAATTAAAAAAAAATGAAAGAATAAATAAAATTAAATAATTAAAAAACTCTCCAAGAAAAGAGAAAACATTGATGTAGAAAAATTCCATTTCATAAATATCTATAAAAAATAATTATATTTTATCTGAAAATATTCAGAACTGGCAAACTAATTAAGTTAAAAATAAAATATTTACAGAAATAGTAACAACTTAGGGACCAGCAGTTAGCATAATGGCTATGTCGCTGAACTCCCATGTAGTGGAACACGGTTTGAGTCCTGGACACAGTGGCTTAAACTCAAGCCAAGCATGTGTGCGTGCGTGCCCAAGATCCCGAGAGGAGAATGGAGGAGATGGGATTGCGGCGTGACCATCCCCCCTGGGGGGTGATTTCTCACTTTCTGTCTCTCTGTCTCTCTCTGTCTTTCTGGCAAGCACATGTGCCCTATAGCAAAAACCTCTCCAAAGGGGGAAAAAAAAAATAGTACCATCTTAATGGTCCTTTATTTTTTTAACCAAACTTTACATAGTGTAAGTAGATTTTTTTTCCTGTTATTTGAAAAGCCTAGGGCCAATTGCTTTTAAATCACTTAAATAATTCTAATGAGGCCAGGCTTTTTAATGAAACTACTTCCCTCCATTTCCACTAATTTTACTACTTCTCTATTTTTCTTCCACCTGAAATATGTGGATATGGGATAGATTAGAACATGATTGAGTAGATTGTGGACATGTAAGGACTTTTGAATTGTATAATTTCAAATGTCTTAAATACACATCGTCGGGGGCCCTATTTCCTTATTTTACCACATGTGCAAGTTTTCAGAACATCTACAAGGTACTCACAAAGGGAACACAGTTTGCAGTTTGTGCTCAACGGCCACTTCCCTATCTTCTTCAAGTAGCTATTATTCTGGACCTTGCCCTATGCATGTAAGGCGCTGTGCTAGGGCGGCTCCAGGGACATGAAGAGCCATTAGGATGAGGGGGCCATGCTGATCTGCAGTTCACAGAAAAAGAGCTATAGGAAGTGATCACATGGCTTAATGAAGGAGTAGTTGAAATGGTCTTCAATAGTGGGATCTAGGTAAGTAGAAGAAGAGAAACACAACCTGGGGAGAAAGAGGGACCCAGGCATCCCAAGAATGAGTATGCTACGGTATCTAGACTTCATTTTGGGATTGTAAGGATCCACTGATGACATTTGGGACAGAGAAGTGATAAATACAAAATGGCATTTCAGATCACAAAACTATGAGGGCGAGCTGCACAAGGTTTGTGATACAGGAGACATCTAAAGACAGAAGGTTTCAAAGGACACTATTTAACAATAGTTTAGAGGAGAGTCAGGCCTGGAATTGTGTCTAAGAAATGAGAAGGAAGGATACAAGAGACATAGGAAAAGGTCAGTCAATAGGCCTTGCTGACTAACTTGGTGCTGGAGAAGAAAATAAATGAAGTGGTTAAGAGACCCATCTTCTGTGGCTTGTCTTTGACTCCTCTGTGTATTAGACTGTTAGTAATTTGGCTTTTGAAGCCCAACCTGCTCTCCTTGGGGAGATGCCCTACTCTGGCAGTCTCCCATGGCAAGCCAGTCAATTCCGAGCAACCCAGTCCCTTCAATCCCTTCCTGGAGGATCTGAAATTGGGTCTGGTAACTAGAAGGTGATCATCCTATGAGGTGTTGGCAGTGGCCAGTTTGTCCACATGAGCTAAAAAGCTGAAAAAGCTGCTTTGCAGTAAGAGACATATGGAAAGCAGAAGTGAAAACAAAAATGGTAAGGGATGCTAAGACTAAAGGCTAGGTCTAGGTTCCCTGTCATACTTCAGTTTCTGCTTTCATGTGTCTCTAGATACAACTGCAAACCTCCTCTTGAATTATGTAGGACATTCCAATAATACAATAACACTCCCTCTTTGACTAAGCTAGCCTGGCAGGGTTATTTTCACTTGTGGCTAACGTGGTCCAAATGGATGTATTCTTCAATGTAAATTCTCTAACCTCAGTCAATTGTGCTATGGTTACTCTGAACTCAGCACTTTACTATGTATTTTTATGCCATTTTTTAAAAATCTAGGATATCTTTCTCATTCTAAGCCTGCTGACTGCCTATGTAAATCTTGACTACTCTTCCTTTTGTCTGGTTTTTTTTTTTTTTTGAGAGGTTTTTGCTATAAGACGCATACACTCACCAGAAAGACACAGAGAGAGAGAGAGACAGAGAGACAGAAAGTGAGAAATCACCCCCCAGGGGTGATGGCCACGCCGCAATCCCTTCTCCATTCTCCTCTCGGGATCTTGGGCACACATGCACGCGTGTCCGGCGTGAGTTTAAGCCACTGGGTCTGGGACTTAAACTGCTGTTGACTAAGTGGAAGTCCAGCGACATAGCCATTAGGCCAACTGTTAGTCCCCCTTTTGTCTGTATTTTTGAGTGATTCATAATATCTAAATTGCATTGCTATATTTTTTCTACTTGAAGTCCCTAAGGATAGTGAACTTATAGATAGAATATTTAAAACTTACATAAATAGGAGAGGAGGCAGAGCATAATAGGCAGTCAGAGAAGATATGCTCTCACGTATGTAAATGTGAGTAAATTCAGGAGACAATAACTTACTTGTCTTCTGATATCTTTGACTTTAAGATAGGAACCAGAGAGATACCACTATTCATGTGATCAAAGTGGATATTTTACATTAGGCAGTATATTAGTTAGGATAGGAAAGACGATAAAAATGTCTTTTATATAAGTAACACATGGCACATATTGTATAAATTCTACAAATTCAATTTTGTAGGTATCCAGAGGAGATTCTACACAAGTAAGAGACAGACTTGAAACTCATCAGTGCTATCCAGAACTTTCTCCACTGTGCTAACTCTTTCACAGGAAATGGAAAAACAATCCATTTTTTATACGAGACTAAAATATTCAATCTTTTTAAAAATAATCTTTAAAAGCTTTAACACATTTTAAATACCCATTAAAACAGTATTTACCCCAGAAAACACATTTAATGCTCAGGATATATTATAAATGAAATCAAAAGAAATTATTCTCTTTTGAGACAACACAGAACATTCCTCAGAAAGGCCTCTATTTGTCTTTCTAGAAATAAGGACACCAATCTGCTATGCAGTGAAATCTCACATAAATTTAGAATACAATGGAGTTTCTCTTCCCTTCAGAACTAGTAGTATTGGTCTAGTGACTTATGCTTCAAGAGAGAAAAAAACAAAATTGCCTTATGAAAGCAATAAGAAAATGTCTAACAAATGGATGGACATTAATTGAGCAAGATAAAAAGAATGCCAAGTCATAGCTAATGTTTCTTTCTACCCCACTCAAATGAATATTCCTAAAACTTTAATCACACTAGAAGTTTCCACAAGTAACATTGGTCAGTATGATGCTATTATACAAAAAATCCTGTCACTAAGCAGGACAGAAATATTGTTTACATGAAAATGGAATGATCTCTGGTGAACACTGAAAGAAAGTGATAATTTCCATAACCAGAAAAAGCATTTTTATACCATTCCATTTCAACTGCTATAAAACCCTGAGTTACTTTGACAATTGCTTTTCCCTGTTTCCCTGTTTTGTTGGATTTATATCATCCTCATCTCTGCAGCTTTCCATTTACTAAATGACAGGATTTTTGTGGCTTTTTTTTTTTTCTTGCGCATGTGTGTTTTGTTTTTTTCTTGCTGAAGCCTTGGCAGAAAGTACCACCATGCTGTATAGATTGTAGGGGCTCATGTTGCAACATTCATAAAATGAATTTTTGGTCCCTCTCATAAAAGTTCAACTGGCTTTTTTCCAGTAAAATTTCTGTAAATATAATCAGAGAATGCACCATTAAAAGCAGCTGTAAACTATATATTTCTCTGGCCTTAAGAGACTGTTACAATATAGTGCTTGCTATACTGAGAACAAAGCCCAGAGCAGTGTCAGTGAGAGAAGGGGGAAATGCAAAGGCACTTACCTGCATCACAATGAGAAGGTCAAAGACCAAGATGAAAGAAGCAAGGAATGCTCTGGAAACCTCATCACTGGGTAAAAATCCCCTATTCAGCTTGTCCCAGCTGATCCAGTCAGTTGTAATGACAAGAACCACCACAGAAGTCAGGGTAAAAAGAACAGTCCTGTAAGAAACAAGACATTCATTATAGAACATCAAACATCCTAATATAGATACTGGAGACTGCTTGTTATCTGTGCTATATAAAATGTCTACATCTTCCCAAGTACCTACTCTGAGGCATATTCACCAAAAGAAAGTTGAAAAAAGAAGTAAATTAAATGCCTTCTTTCAAAAGCAATTAGAAAAAGTTACGATAGCATCTCTTTCAAGATTTTCCCCAAAGAACATGAAGATACTGATTATGAAACATAAAATTAACAACAAAAGTATTATAAATGACCTTGGGTAGTACACTAAGTGTCCCAAAGAGGACATTGGTGTCTAGTTCTCATTACATGCACATGGCTTTACTAAGGGTCATGGATATGCATATGTAAGAGAATAAGGCAGATGATGGAGGGGTGAGGAAGGACATGGATTCCCTTACCCTTCTACAAAAGAAAAGACTAGCTAGAAAATCCTCATTACTGTCCCCATGGCCTGAGAAGCTCCATAAAGGAACCACCTCCAAATATCAACAGTGTAGACTCGTTCTCATGGTTCGTGGGTCAGTGATATCAATCAAAATGTCAAATTATCCATTCCTTTTTAAAAGAAACTAGGATCCTGAGATTTTCTCTTATACACTTTTGTAGTCCCATAAAAATCTTACATAATTTTATGCAGAGTTCAATGAGTATTTGTGGGAATTAAAGCTTTTAAAATAATACTTAAATACTTAATACTTTTAAAATAATACTTAAGTTAGTCTTTAGTAAAGACATTCGAAATACTTCTGAAATGCGGGTAACAAAAATTTAATCTGTCAGAGAATTACCCATAATGTGGTTAAACTTCTGTTTTCAGAGCAATATTGGTATCTGGATATTGTTTTGATTAAAGAAAAAAAAAACAAGAACAATTATTTTGAAATAAATTTAATCAAAAGGGAGGTTACAAAAGAAAGAAAAAGAAAAAAAGAGGACAAACATGGGACAAAACATCAAGACATATACCCTTGTAGGCAATTAACTGTTTTTGCCCTCTAATATATAATAATTTGCACCCCTTCAAAAAATAGTGATGTGAACTTTTCTACAAGTCTCTTTTCAACTGTATGGAGTATGAATATTTATACCAAAATTTTGGATTTCCTTTCACAGCTTCTTATTTAAACCAAGTCATATTTTGATATAATAAATTTAGGTAATAAAATCCAACAGAGATTTCCCCTATAACTAAAAAAGATATATTATTTTTAAAATTTTAGAAAATAAACACTTCTGTATTTTATTAAAGTTGCAGACTCTCAAAAGAGCTTGACTAATGGCCTCCAAATTATAGATTATAAATTGTGTCCTGTTACTGTTCAGAGCACCTTTTATAACCCAAATTCAAATGAAGAATTAAATACTCAAGGGAAAAATCTTAAATAATTATTAAATTAAATTATTTAATCTTAAATAATTATTAAATAATTATATAAATTAAATATAGCATACCATCAAATATAAGAACAGTAGAATGTGTTTCCCACAAGGATATTATGAGTATATACATTTAGCAGAATGCACTTGTATGACTATATAGGTTGGTAAATATTATAGATGGAAGCTTACTTCCTTCAGATTCCCTCTTCTTAGCCACCCCCTAGGCTCCTTCACAGAACCTATATCCTCTCTGTTATCTAGCACTACATAGTTAATCCCTGGTGAGACAAGGACAAAGCAGCATCTCACTCCATCTGTATGCCCAGCATATACTGTATTTGTCAGAACCTATGGTCTATAAATTAATATTTTTAATGTCATTAGTGCATTTTTCACCTGGAACTTCCTTTTGTGAGGAACGCTGATTATATCTGAATTAATACTCTAATGTTACTTTACTGTTCTAAATATGCAAACTGATACTACAAAATTAAATATTCAGAGGCACATTTTTAGGTGTCAAAGTCTGAGAGTTTGAAATTAAGCATCTGTTGAGCAATTAGAAACCTCATCTATTATAATATTTTAAAAGATCTATTCTTAAAATGCAACAAAATAGTGGAATAGGGTCCCTGCTTATATTCTTCATAGCAAAAAAATTGAAAGCTGTGTATTAACAAAAGTATCTTCATGGGAACTTTGGAATTCATGCAGAAGGTTGCAAAATCCAAGTGGAGTCCAAAAATCAGGAGGGTTATTTTATTTATTTATTTATTTTTGAAAGGTTTTTCCTATAGTGCACGTGCACTCACCAGAAAGACAGAGAGAGACAGAGAGACAGAAAGCAAGAAATCACCCCCGAGGGGGGATGGCCACGCTGCAATCCCTTCTCCTCTTTTCTCCCCTTGGGATCCTGGGCATGCACACACATGTGCTTGGCATAGGTTTAAGCCACCACAATCGACATCTGGGAGTCCAGTGACATAGCCAATATGCCAACTGCTGGTCCCAAGAAGGGTTATTTTGAGAGGGTAATCCTGCACCCAATTTGCAAAACAAGTTCCTGGCTACAGACCTCAAGACAAGGTCATCCTCTTATGGACTTAACTATAGCCTCTTTTGGCCTTGGTCTTGCCACAAGAAACATCTACCAAGAGGCAGGAAAAAGTCATGCCCACCTATACCTAATATGATAGGCCGGCTGACTTTGGTCCCAGCTGCGGACCCTAAAGAGGTCCTGTAAATTGGTTCCAGACCTTCTCAGATACAGTCTGAGAACATTCCAGCTTACATGGAAACCTGCTGGGAAACATGTCTATCCATGTCCCAGGAGGCATACCACTGATACTGGTCTCACAGGGGATCCTAAAAGATCCCTGTAACTCAGTTCTAGTCCTTCTTTACTGTAGTCTGAGAGCAATTCTCACCACTGAGGGAAAATTTTCATTCAAGTTTTGGTGGCAGGCCAGCTGACTGCAGTATAAATATGAATCCTGAATCTAGAATTGTGACGTATTTCTAGCCCCACTCAGTCACAGTCAAGGATAGTTCTGCCCACCCAGGAACCTGGCAGCAGGCATGCATATCCATACAGCTGAAGGGAAACCTGAACACAAACTCATCTGTGGACCCTGAAGCAACCCTGTGAGTCAGTTCCAGCCCCTCTCAGCCACAGTCAAGGGCTCATCTTGCCTACCTAAGGGCCTACCTAGTGACCCACTGAGACCAAATACTGGAGGGTGAAACACTCACTAGTACACCTGATAACAAGCCTATCATCTGTGGAACAAAATGTGGACTCTGAAGCAAACGCTTGCCCCAGCTCTGGCCTTACTGCCCAAAGTGCTGGGGGCAGTCCAATCCGCCTAGGAACCAAACATGACCTACCTGTGTTCTGACCCTGGTAAAAGGCCTTCAAACAAAAAAACAACTACAGACCTATCAGCAACCATATTACCCACCTCCAACTCCACTTGACTGTGATACATCTTATTAGTTAGAGGATCCAACAGGATAAGGTCTTTATTTTCCAAAAACCAGTCTGTAAAGACTGGAAGGATGTTTGCTCCTTCAAATGCACAGATACAGAGGCAAATTTCCACCGATAATTAAGAATCAGGCAAACATGAAGCCGCAAAAGTAAAGTAATAATGTCTAGTAACAAACTCCAAAGAAACAGAAATATGTGAATTGCCTGACAAATAATTAAAAACAATCATTGTAAAGATTAAGAATCTGGAAGAGAACACAGGCATCAAAATAATATTTTTAAAAATGTATGAACAAAACTGAAGTTTAAATAATAGAAACCACATAAAGTACCAAACAGAAATCCTGGAACTGAAGAATACAATGACAAAACCAAAAAATTCAAATGAGAGTTCTGATAGCAGACTTCATCATACAGAAGAAAGAATTTTCAAACTTAAAGAAAGGTCTATTTAAAGACAATTAGAGGAAGAAAAAGATAAAAAGTGGGGAGGTGTAAAAAAGGCATGATAGGGAACCAGCAGTTAGCGTAATGGCTATGTCGCTGGACTCCCATGTAGTCAACCGCGGTTCGCGTCCCGGACCCGGTGGCTTAAAACTCACGCCGGGTGTGTGTGCGTACGTGCCCAAGATCCCGAGAGGAGAATGAAGGAGAAGGGATTGCGGTGTGACCATCCCCCCTGGGGGTTGATTTCTCGTTTTCTGTCTCTATGTCTCTCTCTGTCTGTCTGGCGAGTGCACACGCCCTGTAGTGAAAAACCTCTCCAAAAAAAATTTTAAAAAACGGCATGATAATCTATGGGAGAGCATAGAATGAAAAAAATATATATATACATTATGAGAGTCATGGCATAAGAGAAATAATAGTAAAAGAAAGCTTATTTAAAGAAAAACATACTGCAAATTTCCTAAATATCAGAAGAGATATGTACAACCAGATTTATCAGATGAAAGAATCTCAGGAAAAGCAAACCAAACATTTTTCAAACTACATTATAATCTAATTATCAGAAGTCAAAAAGAAGAATACTTAAAAAGAGCAAGAAAAAAAAACAGACTTGTCACAAACAAGGGACCCCTAACTAAGGCTATCAGCAGACTTCTCAACAGAAGTGTTACAAGTCAGGAGGAAGTGGGAAAGGGATAGTATACTCAAAGCCTTAAAAGAAAAAAAATTACCAACCAAGAGAACTATATTAGCAATGCTGTCTTTCAAAAATGAAGACAAGATAAAACTTTCCCACATAAACAAAAGCCAAGGAAATGCTAAAAGCATTTTAAGGTTAATTGTAAGGATGTTTATTAACATAAAAATATTGGGTTAGCTGTAGTTAAGGTGGCTGTTTTCCACATGGTCAATTACATTGTGCAGGTCTCAAACAGGCAGCTTAAGAAATACACTAGGAAAGTGTGTGTGTGTGCGTAACTAAAATCACAAGAGGAAAATGGAAAAGATGGGACTGTGGCATTAACATCCCCCCTAGGGGAGGGCTTTCTCACTTTTTCTCGTTTCTCCCTTTCTGTATCTGTCTCTGGCAAACACATGCACTGTATAGCAAAAAAAAAAAAAAAAAAAGGTTTTAAATTATAAATCAACTGGTAA